TGCAAACCTTGGCCTCAATGCTCAGGGTCCACAAATCCACTAAGTTCCCATTATCCTGTGGATGCCTTCCCAAAATTGTACCTCCTCTATTCCTCCTGGAGCCTCCTTTGGTTATCAGTACTGGTTGGTTGCACTCATTCTGCGCAATACTCACTCTAAAACGTATAATCCTACCGTCCCTCACCTTCACTCTCCTTTCCTTCTTACAGTCTATTTAAAGTGATTTTTTTTCTATATTCTCACCCTCAAGACAGATAGTTTTTTTGTGTGTGTGCCTTTAATATTTTCACCTATATATGTAGTTTCTGTGTCTTTGATAATCTATCATGATTAACTGTAGATCCCAGTAGTATGATTTGAAACATGCTTAGAAATTTTGATTCCCTATGTTGACAATCAGTGTGTTTTGGCATCTTTGTTTGCAGGCTAATGGAAGTGCTAAGAGATCTGGAGGAGATCCCAAATCCACTTCTCCTACCGTGCCTGCTTCTAAAATTCCTGCTTTTTCCTCTAGTACGGGAAAAGGCTTGTCCCAGTCTGATTCTACTAATATTGTTAATTCTTCTTCTCCTTTATCTTCCTCCCTTCCCACTAGCAAATCTTCTATCCCTCCTCCTCGATCCAATTCCACCCCCTCCTCTCATATCCCCTCCCTCTCTAATGGTTCTTTCAAATTTGCCCCTCCCACTCACAGCACTAAAGGCCTCTCTGTTCCCACGCAGACACAAAACGGTCGACCTTCCTCCTCTTCTTCCTCTTCCTGTTCCCACTCCCCTTTGTCCCCGACTATGTTGAGTCAGAGTGTGAAGAGTATCCGTACCATTCACACACCCAGCTTCACCAGCTACAGTCGGCCACACAACGGAAATGCCAATAAATCAGCTATTCCCACGGTAACTCTCGCTAAGGATGCTGCGTAGAATGCTTCGCAACCATTTATGTATCTCTTAATGAGGTGGAGTCACTCCTGATTTTACTTTGATTCATTTTTAAGTTACGATTTTATTTGTTTGAACAGATAATATTGTTCTATCAGAGTGAACTTTGTTTTGGCATGACTTTGGTTATTGCATGTTATTATTTTCTCTGTTAAAGTGAAAGGCCATCATCCATTAATCAGTGTTTTAAACTTGAATCTCTGCAAATCATAAACGTATAAAAAGATAAAATATTTTATTTTAAAAACTAAAGAAAACTATTTAATTGCAGAGAGCAGGCTCTTGATCAAGGATTTTACAGAGCACTTCATTTGAAAATAATGTTTATTTTTCATACAAGTTGAGAGACTAAAAAGTATTCTAGTCAGTAGTAAGAGTATGTAAACAATGTTTTGGTTATTAGTATCCTCTAAATGATTGTAGATTTTTTTTTTTTAAGTTGACAGACATTGGTTGTAGCCATAATAAGTGAAAAAGTACTGTAAATATATTAACCATTAATACAATTTGACAAACATTGTGTCTGTTTTTTTTTCTTTCTCTCATGCACTGCCAATGTCTTTAAGATTTATCATTATAAATTGACAACAGTTTTGCAATGAACAGTTCAGGTCTTTTCAGTAGTTGTGCCTATTTGCCAAAGTTTGTATTTTACATCTTTACAACTGACTATATAGTATGTGTTAGACATTTAGGATAGGTTATACCTGGCTTAACCTACCTATGTCACAGTTCCTTGATTTACTCATGCAGTTTATGGCTCTTAAATTAGTATTGATGTCTAAATGTAAACTAAAATTGTAGTGATTGATACAATTGCTCTCTACTTCACATGTACATACTGTAGCATCTCTATTTCAGAGATTGTCTTTAGTTTTGTTAACATATTGTACCAAAGTTTATTTCTATGCATGCCTATACAAAATTGTAGAAAGAGAGAATGTAATAGAAAAAATCATGCTTGCACAGATAGATTTAGTAAATGAATGTTTTCTTTGGTTTTGTATAGCTTTAATTGCAGAAGCAATCTGCAAAAGAGTGTAGGTATTAAAGTTCTGCATGCTTGTTGTTCACATGGCCTCTCGGCTATGGTTTCTCCACTGAAACACTGCAAGTCCTTCTATTAAACATTTTGGCAGATAGTTCAGCTGACTTGTGTTTTTTATCCTATATATTTTCTTTTACATTTGCATAGTAATGACATTCAGTACACATGTTGTGAACTCTCTACTGGTCAAAAATTTAGACAAGCTTTATTGAATGTATGTACTGTATGCTGTAGTCAAAAGGTTTTTACATTTAGGAATCTGAAACAAAGTTTGAAGATTTAATTTGTGTTGATTTGTTTAAAATATTGGGGAATTTCCCATGTGTTAATGTATAGTTTCAGTGACAATAATATACTAAAAATTGTAGTAATACAGAATACATGTACAGTGGAGATCAAAATTAAAGAACAATTTATGAATGTCATCATTCAAAATTTGAAGTAATTTTAGTTGTGGCTATACCATGTGTCACGTTACGCTGTTGAGGGAGCACGCAGGAGGCACGAGTAAACGAGAACTGTCTTTAATCAAGGAAACATAGAAGATAATCCACAATAGGAGCTGGGCAAACACGTAGAAACAAGTAGACCTGACAAACACAAACTGAACAGACTAGGACTTTTAAACACAGGGCAATCAGGGGAACACAGGTGACATCAATGGAACATAAACTAAACAAGGACAGGAACATGACCAAATAAGGAAACACAGGA